AATGATTTCGTTAATTCAGTACCGTAGAACATTGCGGATCAATTATATTTGAGGTTTGCTTTATTGTACATTTGTAATGATTTCGTTAATTCAGTACCGTAGAATTTCAGGTGTGCTTTACTGCACATTTTGTAATGATTTCGTTAATTCAGTACCGTAGAACATTGCAGATCAATTGTGTTTTTAATTCGGGATTGGTATCGGTTCGGCTACGCGTCACTCAAGTGCGAATTCTTTCACGTACAAACACCTCAACTCATCTCCATCCACCCAACTGGTGCTGCATACCGAAGCGTCGAATTTAGCTGTGGGAACGGCACTTCATCAAATAGTTGCGAATGTCTAGCAGCCTTTGGCTTTCTATTCACAGAATCTCTCACCATCCCAAACTAATGACAGCACCTTAGGCCACGAATTACTGGCAGTATACCTTGCCATACGACATTTTCGCCACCTCCTCGAAGGTCATCCGTTCATCATCATGACTGACAACAAACGACTTGTGTTTGTTTTCCGTGCACATGCTGAATGCTACTCTCCACGCGAAATTGGTCATTTGTGTTTCATCTCTCATTTTTTCACCGATATCGGACACATCAGCGGATTGGACAACACCGTCGCAGACGCCCTCTCTCAGCTCAAGATCAACGATATGGTTGCACCATCCGATATCAGCCTTGAAATCATTTCTCAACATCAATCCAGTGACCCTCGTTTCGTAGACCTGCTCAAATCCACCTCACTACGCTGCACTCAAATCTCTCTTCCACATTCACATCCACCATTTTCTGTTATACTTCCTCTGGACAGCTTCGACCCATTTTAAGGATTAGTATGCGTAAACCCATTTTACGCATTTTCGTTCATTTTCACATTTCAGTGTTCGTTCTATGTTACGTCTGATTGCCGATCGTTACGTTTGACCCAACATGAACAAAGGCATCCCACATTAGGAAAATCTTGTTTACGGCGCCAACGAAACGAGATTCACTGCCACACAGTATCTTCCTAGGTAATTTACTTGTCCCACACACTCGTTTCTCTCATGTTTACATTGAACTTGTTGGTTTACTTCTCACTTCAAATGGTGAGACATATCTGGTAAAATGTGTCGACCATTTCATACGTTGGACGGTGGCCGTTTCCCTGGCAGACATTTCCTCTGAGTCCGTTACACGTTTCCTGNNNNTTTCCCATTACGGTTTTCCCACTGGTGGACGCACTCAATTCCAATCCGCACTCTGTCGTGATTTCACGTGGCTGCTTGGTTGCGAACACATTCGCACCCCGCAGTAAATGGCCCAGTTGAACGTTTTCACCGACAACTCAAAGCCTCACCTCGCGCTCACGAAGATCCTCGCTGGACCGAATGTCTTCCACTCACTCTACTGAGCATTCGCACTGTCTTCAAAGAGGACCTCTGATGTACAGAGCCAGACATGGTTTACGGCACTACCCTTTGTCTACCAGGTGATTTGTTTCAAACCCCACCGGCAACCACTGTTTCTCCATCGACGTTTGCCGAGCGATTGCGAGACCATATGGTGCATACCAAACCAACTACAACACGCCAACAAAAGTCGATTGCAAAAGTGCCTGATGATTTGCACACATGGAGCCACGTTTCATTCGTTGCGACGCTACACGTCGAACACTCAAATCAACATACACCGGACCATGAAGATTAATTTCTCGTTCCGATAATTTTTTTTGGATCGCAAGGGAACGCATGACTCGGTGAGCATCGATCGTTTAAAACCCGTGTATCTCAATTCATCTTTCGATTTACCCATCACACAATCTCCACACGTTGTTCCTTCACCAGCTATTTCCGATGCATCACCCACACGAAGTCACTCAACAGGAACAACACACTTCTCCAGCTACCTGTGGTGATTGTAGAAGTAGTATTAGTGAAATTACGTATAGACTTCAGGACACGAACTACGCAATAGGAATCACGGAACACGAATTATAAATCAGGTGGCACTAGACCTCAGTGGCTCGAATTCGCAATAACCCGCAGGATCGAGACGCGAGGAAAAAGGCCACAAGACAGGCAAATCACACAGTCGTTTATTGAAAGAAATGAAAGTGAATATATATGTGTGCAAAAGCAGAGCATTGGTTACCTCAGTTTCTACCAATCCTATTGCATCACATCTTGCGTCATACTGCTCTTCCCTGCATTGCATCTAATTGGCTGGAACGGTCCACCAATGACGTGCGTCCGGAGGCTGTGCACGTGCCACTGGCGTCAGCGCTCAAGGTCGATTGACTACCAATGTCCGGAAACTGTACCGCACTGCTCTAGGGCAGGCGTAATCTCGTACATCCGAATCATCACATTGGGGCAAAACCACTGTAGGAACCTGTGTATTTCGTACAGTTCCAGTACGCAGTGCACCAGAATTTGGACTATAAATTGGCTGAAATCAACATACTGTCACGAACTGAACTGAATGATAAACGCGATGGTCCACTACTCGAGGGCTCTCCTCTAGCACGTTGCTCCCTGAATGAGGTTCAGTTCTCATGAGGAACCAACCCTTCATGATCTAATAACCTCCGAAAAAAAAACTGGATGATGTTAGTGCTTCTGGATGTCCACCAATTTGGTAGAGCGATTACCTCCTCCTCGGGGTCGATATCTGGACGATGCTACCCGCGCGTAGCTTACGAATGTATAAGGAGTTTGGTAGAATGAAGATAAATAGGCTTTGAGAATACACTGTAAGATGCATTGGATCCCCGAGCAAGATGTAATTGGCGTCGATTAACGTTGGTTGTTGATCAACCAATCTTCGTCTCCAGTACTTTTGTGCACCATTAAGATAGAGAAGGGAAAACCACTGTGGTAGAGAGCTGCAGTCGCCAGGACCATTAGGTACAGAAACATTAGTTGGTGAGCCTACCAGAATGTTGGCACACAAAGGCAGTGGGCTCAGTACACCTCCCACAGAAATGAAGTAGTACAGCTAGTGAAAGCGAAAAATAGGATCTTCGAAATGAACCTGGCCAAGAGAGTAAAGCTAGAGCGAAAGAAGTACTACGGCTATGTCCAGTCAAAGGGTCCTACAAGAGCGAAACTGGGCCCGCTGATACTTGAGGAAAATAGAGTTATACCTGATATTATTGTGTGGCCGATCTGCGGCCTTTTCATGGCCTCACTTACGGAAGGGACGTTATCGTCCGATTAGAAAAAGGCCATCTACAAGGGAGATATGAAAACGGATGTTAAAACCTATCATCCTCTTAGTTTGACTAGTGTATTATACCAGGGACTAAAAACGGTTGGTTAGAACGCACCCAGTGAGACACCTGGAGCAGAACATACTCGTGACAATAACAGATAATGGTTCGTCAAACAACGCTTATACCTATCAAACCCACTGTGTTTCTTCGAGGGTGCTACGGCAAGTATAGTGTAGTAATTCAAGTAGGCACATAAAAAGAATTACGAATTACAAATCACGAATCACGGATACAACGGGAACACTGAACCGCACTATCACCTGCATTCCGGTGTCACCCGAAACAGAGACGCAATAAAAAGACCACAGAAGTAGCAGTTCCTTTCTTGAGAGAAGTCAATTAGAGTTTGCTGGTATCCTCGACGTCATTCAGCTTCCATCAGGATCGCAAGATTGGTCGGCACAATTCGCTTATGGTTCATTGCCTGGATCACAGCAAGATTTTTGATTCAGTGAACCGTCGCCTGTTGTAGACCAAATCAGAAGGATTCGGAATTCAAAAACGGTTTCTTAGGTGGACGGGTAATTTTCGCTCTCAACGACGATTCTCCTTGACGATTGTCGAGAAACACCGGTTCAGCTGACTAGCGGAGTTGCGCAAGGCTCAGAATTAAGATCACTTCTATTCTTTCTCTACACAATTGACTTGCCAAGCACTGTGACATCTTTGTGCTACATCAAAGTGGTTCGAATGGTAGGTGTGAACTGAAACGTGATTTAGTTTTGGTAGCTAGATAGAGAGAAGAATAGGACCTAAGGCATAACGCAAACAAAATTCTTGTGCTCACAGGAGCATTAGACGGCACGGAGGTTCACTCCGATAAACATCATTTCACTATGGAACCCACTACTCAGGTTACGAACTTGAGAGTAGTGGTACGGAACAACTTCAAGTGGTCTGAGCAGTGCGCAGTAGCGGCGTACAAGGTCAAGGGGGAATCATTTACGCAGCAGTCGGTCCTCACATGCAAAAAACCGGAAGTGTTCGTCCCCGATTACAAAGCCATAGTCAGACCGCACCTGGAGTATTGTGTACAGGCTCAGTCATCCGAAGGATGCCGCGTGTTTACAGAAATTTCAGAGATTGGTCACCAGAGTGATTGAAGGCCAAAGGAAAAGAACATATTGGGAAAGACTAGAAGGTCTTGGGCTTTTCTCATTAGCAAGTAAAATACTACGCGGAGATCTGATGTAAACCATCAAAATCATGAATAGATATCAGGGATAGGAGTGGGAAATCTTTTCACAACGGCTCTCCAACGTGGCACCAGAGGGTATCAGTTCAAGCTAATGAAGCAGAATTGCCGACTAAACATGTTTTCGGAATTTGTTAGCAATAGGACAGTGAATAAATGGAGCCATATTATCAAAGGAAATAGTTGACCTCTAGACAGAGCAGGCCTTTAGGACTACACCTAATAAACGATGTGCGGAACTATTTTCCTCTCTGGGAGTGTAGATGACTGTGGGCGTGCAAAATGTTGGGGTGGAATTCCTCTTTTTAATGGTGCACGTCATGGAACGTTCTTATCTAACATTTCACTCGGCATCTTTGTGAGATGAGATCCTATTTCGCAATCCTATTACAGCAGAGCTGGTTAACCACGTAGTGAGCATAAAATCAATGGAGTTGATTGGTTGTGACCATATTTACTTCTGCTCAGCCTGAACTTAAGGTCGTTTGTTTTAGTCAGTTGTTTGAATCGCTTGGCGCGTACGCTACATTTCGGCGTGTTGTTGCTGATCATGGGTGTCATACGATATTATCCAGTATGCGTCGGTCGCGAAAGGGGTATGAAAAAAACGAAAAACGTCCGCCCTAAGAAGCCATCAAACCGTCGAGGGGTATGATTATTCAATTCAATCAGTAACTTTCCATAACAGCGTATCACTAAACAAGCCAAATTCACTCGTGACGTTATCCGGGAGATCGTTGGCTATGCCCCTTTTGAGAAGCGTATCCTCGAATTGCTGAAGAACGATAGAGAAAAGCGGGCGTTGAAGTTTGCCAAGAAGCGTGTTGGCGGAACGCGACGAGCTAAAAAGAAGAGGGAAGAGCTCATGAAGGTCATTAAAGCTATGCGTACGAAGTAACTGAAATACATTATGCTTACGGAATTGTGTGCTTTTGTGTCGGATTGATTAGGGCCCCTTGGTTGGTGTAGTTCTCTCTGATTGCAGATTCAAGTTTAGTATATATCACGTGTCAGTTCCGCCCTGTCTTCATACGATGAACGGCTTAACCGACGTATTAGGAGGCCACATGTAAAATTATAAGTGCGTTTTTCATTCAAAGCTTTCGACTTGGATGTGCGATTATTCTCTTAACCGCCAGAGTGGTGGACTAGTAGGTCCGTAGATTAAGATTGCCTTACGAAATATGCAGCCTATCGGTAATGCGTTTTCCATTATTACTTATTTCGAATGGTACCGTTGTGCGTTTTCTGCAGCGTGTCGCGATGTTATTTTGCGTTGAATTACAAAGTAGCACTCGTGCTAGTGATTGATCCGCGTCCCGACTTGCGTACGGGGCTGTTTTTGTTGAATGGGATGGACGAGAGCACTGCTCAGGTCTTATTCGTAGCTAGGTCATCGGTTCTGTTGCGTTGTAGTATGATCTTGAAGACCGTTCCCTGTTGAATCCGCTTGTTGTCCTCTGTCTCAGGGAGTCGTGTGTTCTTGCAGCTAGGTCTTGAGCGGAATCAACATACCCCAACGAACGTGCTCTATGGTCGACCACTTGCTCCAGTGGGCGATCGTGGTTGCCTAATGCTTTTGCCTAACCTCAGCATTGCTCGTCCGGCTCCCTAAAGTGATTCGTTGTCTGCTGAGTTTGAACAAATGGAACGTAAAACATGCCCTGATGAATTTTCCGGGAATTTAGAAGCGGGGAGAGACATCCGATTCGAAACAGGACATTCCAGAAAGTTACGAAAAATGTCCGGGTTGGTTGAGTTTTAACCCCATGAGGTGCGTCTGGAATTAGGCGGAAGAGAGAGATGAGGCAATACTCATTGCATTAAAGGGGGAGAGAAAAGGGATGTTAGGGAAAGAGGAGGAAGTGGATGTGCAAATGAGGTTAGGGGTGTGGAGACGATCACCAATACGATCGGGACGCTCGTGAGAAGGTCGACCAGATGATCCAGTTTGTTGACTTAATCGGGAGCTTCATCGTCATGCCTCCTGATTGAACTGTCTGAGAAGCGTATAGTCAATTCCTTATTGTGCGCATTGAAATCTGTGAGTGGTAATTTTAGTTGTTGGGATCTACCTCTCCTAATGTCTCAATTTTAGAAGGCAGAGTATCTAGGATAACCGGATCATTGCTATTCGGGGAGTGGTACAATAATATTTGTTGAACGGAGCTTAAGTTCTAGACAAGCTGACTTTCACGGTTGGGGAAATCGAGGATTGGAGAGACTGGTTAATATAGACGCAGGCACCAGCTTTATGGAAAGTGGAATAGGGAAGTTAATGGGGAATTGAGGATGAGTACTGTCTGACGATGGAAAGTTCTGCTTTTCGGTTGTAAATAAAGCCACGGGTCAGGGGGATTGGAGAAAGGGGTGTACAGGATCAACGTTTGGATTCGAGCCACGAATATTGACGAGGGTGATGAAAGTTGTCTGAGCTCTGCGAGAGCGCACATGTGAGGATTCACCTGAGTTATATTGTCCATCTGCGTGAGTCGGAAACTCAAACCTGGGACTTGGATTTAAGCCTTCTTTAGGTTGGGAATGGTTGTAACCTGGGTGACAGCAGGGTTACCTACTACCACGAAGGACTGTTGACTTAAAAGGCTCCGTTCTCACCAAGAAGTATTCATATTTGGTGTTGCTCTCGAGGCATCTGGGGATAAAGTCCTGATTACCTTGCAATGGGAATGCTTTTGCTAAAATAAGGAGGTGGGCAGGTATTGGTGGCTTCGATGAGGCGTTGATAGCTCATAGGTTATCCGGAAAAGTTGATTCCACTTAATACGTTTCCCATACGTCTGAGATTAGACAGTGCAATCATCTGCATGAAGAGGAAACATCCATGATTTCATCGTGACCACTATACTGCCAGTTTGCCTGGACAAAAATAGGTGAATTTTCTTTGATACTTAACCGGAGCCTTCATTTAACCAGAGCCTGACCCGCAAGGCGGCAGTGTGTGAACACCGCGCTCCATTGAGAGCCAATGTTCAGTTCATCGGATCATATGCCCTTTGGACGGGGTCAAACGTCCAAGGTGCCCATTATACCTCGATACCTAATCGAGCCGTTGATCAGTATCACAACCAGGAACGTGTGGGTGATTGTGGTTCATTGGTATCTTATTTGGTTTGGAATCAGGGTTTTTAACCAACTCCCCTTGGTGAACTGCTGTTGCTTCACCGACCTGGTTAGGTCCCAGGATGTTGACTTCCCATCCTCTCTTTGGTGGTGAAACGTCTTCACGGTCAGGTAGTGAGTAGGGCTTCTTTAGCAGGGGCTAGTTGAGACGCTTGGTCGTATGGGAGCATTTCGCGAGGTTCACTGACAAGGTATCAGCCCCAACACGAGACTGACTTTCGGATTCACCTGCTACAAGACTGGGTTGGTCCAATTCCCGACCTCACAGTAATTGGGGCTTGCTATTTGGGCAGCTAAATCTCACCCGGCTGACGCATTGCGAATGAAGTGTCGACTCATATACAGGTGGCTGGACGCATTTCCAAACTTGAAACATCTCTGCACCTTTGCAACGTCCGACGTTCTCTGTAGGACAGTGCGTATGCTTCATCGGTTCGACCGGTGTTGCTATACGGCACAAAAAGAATGCCATTACGAAAACAGACTGTTGGTGTTCAAACAGCGATGTCTACGCCACAGCGCACGATATTGACGGGACAAACATACGAGTGTCGTGGAGTTCTAGGTAGCCGCGGCAGCCTACTTGAATAGGTGTCTGATTCCACAGATTACTGTTGCTGAAACATGTTTGCCACGCCTAACCTAGCGTGGTCTTACGTGGTTTACCATTCCATATTCCGGAGCTTGGGTTACCGGTTTCCATCATCGAACAATCAGCCGGATGGCCTTACGTTGGACACGATCGAAGAGAAAAAGAGCGCAATACGAAGCTCCACCCTAAATGTGACTGCAGTATTCGAGAATCGGGCGGATTTGAGCTTTGTATAAAAATAAAAGGTTCTTGGGGGTAAAGAAACGCTTTGCGAGGAATAGAAAATCGACTGCGCACAGCGCGATAGGCGGGTTTGGAAATAATAGGGGACCAGCAGAGAAAACGATATGTGGATAAACCCAGAACGGAGAGATAATTTGTGAACCGGAGGGGCAGCGATATAAGAATCAATTGTACAGAATGGAACTGAAACAGGATAACCTGGCAGTTTTCTGCCCACCAGGAGCCGATATTTTGTACCGTGATTGTTTGGTTTACGTGATAGACTCAGACGAGTGAGATTTACTGTATAATAAACTAAATAGAGAATTTTTCTCAGGAAAAGCACGAGCTAATTCCGGCCATAATGTGTCAAAGGTTCCCCCTGAATGTAGTCTGGCATCAAATTTCGAGTAGGTGTGCACGATGTGCACTTTGGATGGGGTCGTGTTCCACGCTGGTCGGTTTTTTATGGGCTGTACTATTTCTCAGATATGAAAATCCGGACTATCTTTAATACATACTGTTA